TGAAATATGCCTTAAAGTATTAGGCGGATCAGTTTGACCTGAACCGTGATTCATATCATTTAATGACATGATCTCGAAAATCGACCAAACGGTTTATTTTATTATCTCAGTTCAATCAAAAACAACAACAATCATTGTAAATAAGAAACAATTAGATCATAAATTTATATTTGGAGATGGTGAGCAAAGTCGTTGACAACTTTCCGAAGAGACTCAAACAGTGCATTGAAGCAGGAGGTGGCCATTTTGAAAAGAAGTCATTCTATTGTGATGCCGAGATTGTAAACTTTGTTTTTGTTCTCATTGGTTTAAAAATATTTCATTTTCCAAAAAATCATTTCATTTTTATTTGTCCGGGTATTTTTGCCTCACCCTGTATATTCCGATATTTCTAGTTGAATAAGGGTACTTTTTAGGATTTAGTGAAAAATACTCGGCAGTGTAATAAATTGAGATGCTGAGTACTGTAAATTTGCAGGTCAAAAGTTGTACTTACGCGCAAATTTGACGATGGCTACAAAATGACACAAATTATGAATCATATGATACAAATCCGCTTGATATTTCAAGGAGTGTTTCCTGACTAATTGAACTCTTTTTATTCAAATTTGTACGCAGTTTGGTTTCCTAATTACCGAGAAACTGATAAATATATAATGGTGTACTTTTTTTCCGGGCACCCTGTATATCAAGGATTCCGTCTCACAAGCTTGCAAGTCCCATCCATTTGCGTCAGTGTAACGTGATGATACCGTTTCGTTTCTGTCCCGCTTCTGTATCGATGCTATATCGCGCGGCTTCATACTTGTGGGGAAAGCCTAGTTTGGCTTCATTCCCCCGAGAGCCCACCAGGTTGGATAATAGTTTATGTCTCGAAGGCGAATGGCAAAAAGACTATACGAGACTGTCTGACCCAAGAACAGTTTCCTCTTCATGTCATATTTTTTATCAGGATTCGTCAGCCAAGAAAAGCATTAAAAATGGTTTATTTCGAGTTCTGCCTGCTTGATCATTCTTACAAAGTCATGGCTGCATTAATTGGAAAACCTCTGGCCGCGCCGGATTGGCAGCTCTGACCGCTTAGTATTAGCGTGACTCAAGCACCCCGCATAGCAGGCTGCGCATGATCATGAGAGACATTAACGCGTCGGGGGAAGGAAATATCTGATTGGAAGCCAGGGCTGCATGCTTGGAGACCCAATCAAGGCCAGTCCATACACAAATTTCCTCATAATATGGAACAAAGTCATGAGTCTGAATTGTATCTCTAATTGAATATTTTGAAAATAGAATGAAATCTTTTTCAAAAGAATCATCTCTCATTGCCACAATAAACTGTTTTGGTTAAATTGTCCTTTCTTGGAATAGTAACTGCACAATGGCATATCAATACATGTAAATGGATGCACTGATATTTTCTTGTAGGAAACCAATGTTTGCTTAAGCTAGTATAACACAGATATTGGTAGCACTGCTGGTGAATGCCAAGGGCTATTTTTAAACATGGCTGTTATTACCGATACATCTAGTGATTCACATAATAGTGTGCCACAGCCTAATAAATTACAGTATAAATTATCCATTTTAATATGCTTGCTAAATAATCTCAGATTCAATTAACAATTAAATTGTGAAATTTCTCAGACAAGTCCATCATATTGTGAGGACTTTTTTGTGAGACTTATAATTATGGAAATGTAATACTCTTTTTCAAGTTTTACATTTCTATTTCTAACCCTTGAATTTCAGGTTGCAAGTTAATATTTGATTCAAACTTGAAAAATTGCTTGACATATATGTATGTCACACCTATCTAGGGGTCATTTTTTGTCATGATGGATATATATTGCATACTCACTTTAGAGGTTAATANCTTATAAACACACGCAGAACATTCTAGCATGCTCTGGAAAAAAATTGTACTGGATATTCAAGAAATTCCGAGAACTTTCTTTCCAATCAGATATTTCTTCTCTCCACTCCCCCTGTGTCCCATTCTCGTGACGTTTTCCTCGTGGACATGCTGCCAGTTACCAACGTATAAACGTTTATATAAAAATACCCATACTTATTTTGTCCTCTTCAACTAAAACCCATGGAAACCTGGACCCGAGAATGAGAAATGTCCCTGTCGGAAGCAGAGATCTTAATAAATTGTCTTGCTAGTACTCCAGATCATTCTGACCGTGAAAATAGCAGATGCTCCATATAGGACAATTAGCACATTGGTGTATGCTCCTCTTTCGTGTCACAGGGTTTCCATCCATTCCCTTTCTCTTTCTTCGTGAAGTATGAAAATAATCATGAAATTCTCCCGTCTCTTTTGGCATCAGTCCAAGTTGACCGACGGTAAACACTTCAACGGTAAACGACTTCCTTTAAAGAGGAAATGCGATCTTTCTTTGAGTAAAATAAGGCCTAGCTATATTTCTGAAAAAAAATAAACAGTCTCCAAAATCGTGAAATAAGGTTAATAATTTTTGCGATACTTGAACGTACGTTTGCGACTTTCTCTGGTAACTCGCCAAAGTCTCGCTAAGTGCCCATTTTTCGTAGAAAAATAAGCGCTTTGGATTCATGGAAAGACACGACATTGAGAACTCTCCTTGCATCAATTTGATGCAGTTCAGCCATGCTGATAAATGTAAAATGATTGTTTATCCAGCTGATACAGTTGTAATCCTCCCCTCATTGTTTCCCCACTGATTCCAAGTTCCAGATTGAATCCGATCGGCAAGAGCAAGACTCTCTGTAGGATGCACTTTTGGGTCCCATGCAAATATTTGCGATGAAATGCATAAATCCTTAGGAGAGGCTCTAGTCATCTGGAAAATGAAATAAATCACATCAACTTCCGCTAAATAACTAATGAAATGCGATTTGTTAACGCCAGCGCCACCAAAAGGATAATCCCACTAGGCTTATTGAAGGTATTTTTTCACATGATGAGGGGCGATTTCATTCCTTTGGGGATTGAATCCTAAAGCATCACGTCACAGGATTTGCCCGGGGATTATGGTAAAAGAGGAAAAACCCTCATCACATGAAGTGCCGAATGAAACCGGAAACCAGTTTATCTGCTGGGGAATTCCATTTTGTCGATGGGAAATTAAAACGTTGCAGGTAATTCTTGTGGAACGGAATAACAACTCCTCTCTTCGATTCTCGTTCTCGTTCACGATAACTCTGTGATTTCGAAAAATTCTAGGTGCCCCTTCATGACTCTTCATGCATAGAATGCGCTATGGACAGGTTCACACATTAGGCTCGGATGAAGTTTCTCGCAGTTATATGCACCCAGTTTTCTTGTACTCAAGCCTAAAAGTGGATAATTAATTATTTCTAGGAATCACTCGAACTGATATATAACAGGATATTCTAAGAAGGATCTCAATAACTAACCTTTCAAGCCGTTTTCACGTACACCGTACGTTCACCACTTAGGACGTCGAGCTAAAACTCAGCGCTTGAAGGGTTAATGCGAGTACGGAAGCATGATTAAACCCGCCCTTAACCAATATTACTCTACTTCTATGAATCCGAACGGTCCCTAGCGTACGTCTTTCCTGGAAGATGACATCGTAAAGTAGGCGACGTCCGCTTTAATAGCTAGAGCAGAGATATGCATTACAACCCCTGCTTTCCCTTCTTGTTTGCCGTATGCTTGAACTTGGCACAAAACGTAGTCCACGTATGTGAGGAGTGCACACAATGGGTGTACAAAACAAAGAAACGGCTGAGAAACAGCCCAAATAATTGAGACATGAGCGGTCATATCACAATCCCAGTGACAAGCACTGGTACCGATCATGGGCCTTGGGAACGGTGGGACTGGAGTAGGAGTCGACTTACTCTAATTCGCTCAAGGGTACATCTCGGCTGTGATGCGTTGCCCTGAAAGCGTGTGAGGGTTCCTTTTTTTGACGCAATGAGGTGGCAGAGGGAGGTTGAATTTCACCCAAACTATGCATCCTCCCGTTTAAATCGTCAGTTGACGCCTTTTCGTTTTTCATATGTATTTCATGCAATCTGGCAAGGCCAGATATGACGGATATGCATAATGATTTTTTTCTGTCTCCTTTCAGAGGTGATTTTTTAAAATAGCAACTATGATATTCCTTGATGCATTACAATTTGGCTTTTATCAGGCGAGGCAACTTTCAATAGAAAAGGACATCCCAGGTTCAGCATTGGTACAGACAAAAAGTTTCCCAGTTGGAGGATAGGAGGGTGCGGAGTCATCGGCTGGCCAGCATCTAGCCCTGATTTCCCCTCATGTGACACCTTTTATTGTGGGATCATTTGAAAGAGAAGTGGATGGTGGGGGACTAAAAACATTGGAAGAACTTGTGGCCACCGTCATCAGGGAAGTTAATGCCATCCCAGGGCAGAGGCTACATGCAGCGTGAATATATTCAAGCTAAGGATTGAAAAATGCATTGGCGGAGAGACACGCCCTATTGAGTATTATTGAGAGAGGGATTTTCATTATTTTGCTGTGAAAATTTTCCAAAATAGATACTTTTAAGTTCTTATATGAAACATTTCTAAAATATATACAGTAGTTCATGATTTATTTAAAAAGTAAAATAGTCCGTGACTTTTTATACACCCTGTGCAAAATATTCAAATGCGAAAATGGACCAATGTATAGTTTTGATGGATCACTTTCCTTGTATGAACAGAGAGAACACCAAAGGGCCAACAAATCCATGGATGTTTATGGGAATGCTGTCATGAGCTCCAAAAAAGAGGTGATCTGAATGGAGAAGAAGGCTACGATGCCTTTGTCTCCTTCCTCTGAGTCTCTCTTTCCTCGAACAGGAAATCATAAAAATACGCAAATGACATTTGCTGTCGTCAAAGTTTTTGCACAGTTGGCCGTATCTGCTAATTGTCTAGGGCAGCCGTGTTGAGAGTCATGATACGATATCCCCACAAAATGGGGATAGCTGAATAGTGAAGACTTCAGCTGAGAAACAGAAAACATTTTATATCCCATCGCAGTCCATTCCATTCCATACCAAAGCTGTCTCGGGGGAATGAGTAGGTGAAGGTAAGAGGGGAGAAGAAAGATGGGAACGAAGCGACCCGTTCTGGCCCGATATGAATGACGATCCCAGATTGAATGTCTGGGGGATCCCCCCCACGGGATTCTTCCAGTTCTTTTCACTTACATCAAAGACACAGACTTGAAGAGGAAGAGGGAGAAAGACACACAGACACATCCTTTTCCTTCTTCTTCATTGATTTCATTCAAGTCACATGCCCTGAGCGTGCCAGGACTGCTGTCAATGGGAGACAGGCAGCTAGTAATCCGGGGAAGCCAGATATCCCGCAAGCCCGGTTTGAATGCTGCATTGCCGCCGGCTGTTCTCCTGCAATTCAACAATAATTTCTTCCATCAATCTCTATCTCTTATACGAGATATATGTGCTTAACCCCAAATTGAAAGCAGGAAACCATTGAAGGAAAGGGGCTTTAGTCTTGGATCTCAGCCTATCATCGGCTAAAAGTAAACTTTACCCAAACATTGGCTCAACATTGCTTCACGCACTGATTTAGTATGACACAAACAAAAGGTATTCTGGTTACATTTTAAGAACATTCGATAACCTTTCGATTATCTCAAATAAGGCCAAACTGGGGCGAGGCATGATTGCCTGCATCCTCTTTTGGCCAAGACAAGAACACTCATGACTATACGTTCGAAATAATGATAGGAAACAATTAATATGCAGCTCACCGCTGATGACGTGAAGGGTGACTTTAGCAAATGGCAGATCTTTCGGTCCTTCGTCGTGAGGGACGCAACTGTAGTTACCGGCGTCTTCTTTCCTTGCATGGGTGATCATGAGGGTGCTCATGTAGACGGGAGTTTCAGGACTCCCCGACCTCTCCTCGGGGCCCACGATGATTCCTGCATCGTAATACCGGTAATAGTAACTCATGATGTTTAAGTCATTAGTCACGCATTATTAGTCGTAGGATCAGTCCAAGGTTTCATGACCACAGAAGGCCGGAAGCTTTGAAGCTGTGACACGAAAACAACGAAATCAAACGAAGGTATGCTGTAAAAGTAACGCTTATCTGCAGCGTGCATCGTCTAGACGTGGCTCAGTAGTGCCAGGTGACAATTTCCATTCACTCTTTCTCAGAATCGTCTCTCACCAAGACAGGAATCAAAAGCGAACTGAAATAATGGTATTCTTGGAGCAGCTTCACAGCTGGCACAACTGTCTTTTGGAGGCTATTATATGCAAATTCATTTTCCACATCAGCCTTCCCCATAGTCTCAATTTTATTTTTACATGAAATTATCTACGCTATCCCAGCAGAAAATAAGCTCTACCAACCCACGTGAGATGGTGCCCAACCGCCGACTTAGCGATTCTCACCCTAATGCCACTGAAATGAATCTCCTGTATTTTTTCATACTGTGCCCGATCTTCTCCCACGTACAACTTAGGGGAAGGCTTTGGAATTCCTGGACAGACCCGTTTAAAGAGACAACCCGACGGAAGGAGACTCCCAAGTACTTCTGGCCCAGGAGTTAGGGGAAACATGCCGCACTTCCAATTTCACTACATGGCAGGTAGAAAGATCCGGGCTCCTATAATGTCTTTCAGGGATGAAAAAGCCTCTTAATCGCCCAGAGAAAGAGACAAATCAGGGGATGGTGTCAGACACGTAACTCTTTTGCTGGACAAAACTAATTGTGTTATTAAAGTACTTATCTTGGATTCTGATCAAGTAAAGGAAATTACATTTTCACATGGAATCAACCGTGGATGGTAGTATTAGCTGGTGTACTTTCCAGTTCTCAGAGGTAAAACAGAAGTTTCAAACGATGTGAGATAATTATTGTCAGCATATCTTCAACATTGGGAAATGGAGGAAATCCCAAGTCAACGACGATTCAATACTGACACTACACGTAAGTGATAGATGAACGTATTTTCAGCGTTGAACTGTGTTCCATTTCAGCATTGCAGTAACATTGAATCAATCTTTTACACAACGTTCTGGCAACATTGCTACGTGGAAAAATCAATAATCTCTCAACGATGACAATATTGTTGTGCCTAATGGATCTTTTTCTTTAGGGGAGCAATGTGCTCTAGGCCCAGCTAGTATGGATGCAAATATAATCGTATGATCTGTTTTCCCTGTCTTCATTAGCACCTCGTTATATTCCCAGAATAATTTCATGAATGAGCAGAATGTTTCGTTATTTTTGGTTTTCCTTCAGCCATTAATGAGTATCAATCCATTACTAATTCTTGTTAACGGATTTATGCTGTTTAGAGATGTGCCACGCACGAACGAAATACTGCAAATCTACAGCATCTACGTACGCATCCATATAACCCATTCATAATCATGTACGGTGGCATATTCAAAATTAATCAATTTGGCCAACGTAGTTGAAGCCCTGTCCTAGACAGCTTATGGAAGGATGGAATTGAGGTTGAGAAGCCAAATTCCAAATTCGATGGAGGAAATTGCGAATATTTGGAGTCCTCTGCACATCATGCAATAGCTATTCATGCTGGTCCAGCAATTTCTTTAAGTGGGCTAATGCATAGAAGTAATTCCTGGGCCTTATCGAGAATTCTTCCCTACGTTCGCCAAATAAAAAACGTGTCTTTTCTTCTCTCTCCATCCCCCTGCACTAATGGCAATAGTAATCGATGATTGGTTGGCCATATTGCGGGGCCAACACCTGGTCCCCCCCTCTAATATCTGTAGAGACTTCTAATCGATCCCACTCCTTGGTCTTCTTATCTCACTTCGTCACGAATGTTTATCAGGAATAATCTTCCAAAGGGTGAGGCCAATTCTGGAGTCAGCTAGGAATCAGATGTGCAAAAAACTCAGATCGGGAGATATGTAGTAATCGTCGTTTCCCCACTTCCGTTGTTTCGCCACTTCTGCGACGCTCAAGACAACATTAATGAGATGCTTTCGACTTAAAGCGTGAAAAGGGGAGAGGTTACCCCTTTAGAGACAACATCGATCTTCTTTAGCTGAAAAAAGTCAGGAAGAGGCCTCTGAATGAGAAACCATCGACTAAATATATCCCGGCCTCCGTCCCCCTTCTTTCCCCTCTATTTTCCCCTTTTATTCCGAAAGGAGATTCTGTCACCAATGTCCATCAACGTCGGAATCTCTTAGCCTCGGATGCCCTCCTGGGAACTTCTCTCTCCCCTCACAAGATTGAATATCGAATGATATCTTCCAATCATGCCATCATCACTGGTGTCTTCTGGCAGTCTATTTTCGCGGTCATTCTTTGCTGCTGAATCCGAGAACATTCAATCCAATTTACGAGCTCATTGGCTGCGTATTCCACCGTTACCCTAAACCGATGCCATTATTGGATAGTTCACATAAAATGAGATAGAAAATGGAAAGAGGAAATGCGATGACTGATGATTGTCAATCTCAGGGAACATCCTTCGCATTAAATCATAAACTCAATTAAGTGATCCAGATAATATCGGCTATTTATTGCCACCATTTTATCGACATCGTACACTACTTGCCAAAAAAGTTTCCGCCTGAGAGGTTACAAATGTTCGCAAGTCATTCGCCTCCAGATGTATCAATGCCAGTTATGCCTCGCTAGTTTAATCGTAAAATAAAGAAGACGAGTCAATTTCATTATTTACTGGAATCATATCGCCTTGACAACATGAAAGACAATACGAGGTATAGCCTAATAACAGGATGTGCCCCCTTTAAGCTTCCAAGAGCGAATTCACTAGTCTCGGCATTCTATCAACCAATGACCACCATCAGTCAATTGGAATATTGTTATAATTATTCCAATCGACAATTCGCTAACCGTTTCAGGCAACCCTTCGTTGCTCCTACAAAGTAGCGTTTCTAGGCCACTCTTTCATCGAAAACATCTGAAAAATGATTGATTGGATTCTTATCTTCACCCTATCCTGGCCAGGGTTGCACATCGATGACAAACCTCCTCCAGTTCGGCGCTAGACTGCCGGGAATTGTGCTGACATGATTCCTTAAAAGTGACTTTAGCAACATCCGAGAAGAGTCAATACACGGGAAAATATGTTTCTCGATCAGTAAACAATATGGCTCTGTTTTCACATATTCTTCGCACCAGACCGAATCAATGACGATTTTACTGTTGATCACTCCCCCACACCATTATACCCCCCTAAATTCGCAGCCCTCTTCCGACAGAATTCGTGGAATCGCTCCGGGTTCAGAGATTCGCGGGAAAAAAAAGAATAATGCCCAATATAAAGATAGATTATGCAAGAAAGTCAGCATCTGAAAAAAAAAAACATATTGTGGCTCTTTTAGTCTTTTTTTCAGTTAAGCCACAGTTAAGATTCTCCAACTGAAAAAAAGGAGGTAGAAAAGAAGCGCTTCTTGCGCTTGGCGTTCTCTCTTCGGGAAGATCATTATCGTATATCTCAGATTTCGGTCATATCGCATTCAGTGAAAATGACGCCCCCCCTGATTAACCCATGATCTTTTATTGCATTTAGAGATCAGGCTTCCCTGTAATATTTTGAAGAAAAAATTACATATATCTGCAATTCCAGAAGGAACAGGAAAGTATGCGTTTGCAGACTTGGCAACATGGGCATGGGCATGGAAACCCTCATTTATCACCATGATGAAGGTTGCATGGCATGTCATTAGATCCATGAGATTAAGATTGATAAAGGGATGGTTTCGTCCCCTTTCCTTTGAAATCAAGATCCAATTTTCGCAAAAAAAAACGGATTACACGCTTGAAGTATCGATGGAATCTTTAACCCCTCAAGTGGGTATGACGCATACAAGATATTCCTATGGTGTAAATATGGCATCCGTATGGTTCGTATATCCGTCATGGTGAAACGTTCCACAGGTGGGCTTGACATTATTTTTGTGGTGCTATGTTTCGCGTTTGTGTTAAATATAAACTCAAAAACTTGAAATAGGAGTATAAACTCGAAAAAGAGCAGTAAATTTCTCATACAAACACAACTTATTATTCTCACAAAAGAAAAATTCTGACTCCAGTAGTTGATTTCTGTCCGAGAAATTCCCCTTTTAAGGGGTTAAGCTGCTCCCTACGGTGAATATATTAATACGAAAGAATCGTTGACAATTCTATCAAGTCATCTGGCGTTAATTAAACTTCCGGAAAACTAATTTAATATCATCGACCTTCGACCTTTGAGCAGGAAGTATCTGCTACGGATGGTCAAACAAGACAAAATGCGAATTAAATTGGTCCATTTATGTAAAAGTGGAACATCTCCAAGAGCTTGTTCCGCAGGAGATTTGCAAGTTACAAGTATTTGCAAGGGTCGTGTCTTCTTATTCAACTCTTTCAGCGGTTTCGCCGATCCTTGACACGACCATGACACGACCCCTGTAAATACTTGTAACAAATATTTTGCGAAAAAAGATCCTAGGTATTCCCCGGTATTTTTATTGAAAGACGCTCTTTGAGAGTCTTTAATTCTCATGAATATATATATATATATTTTTTACGGTGCGCTTCAAAATATCTATATAGTGCCACAGAAGACGTTAAAGTAATAAAGGGGATTGCATTCCAAAGTATTGGATCAGCTGTGCAATATTCTTCAAAGGAACTATATATGAAAGCTAAATATAAATTCTAAAGGATGTCAGAGGTTGACATTTATAAAGTTTGAAATCGCTTTATTTCACACTCACTTGATGTTTTCAGGATATCCCAAACCAGAACACAAAAAGAGAAACAACCTTATCGGTCAGAGGGGAGAAGGGTTAAAGAGAGATGGGATGATAATAGAATCCCCAGAGCGGGTTAAGGAAAAAGGAGCTACCTGTTCTCGGCTCTGATCTCATCTCTTGATCTCCCTCCAATTCCCATTGCCCCTAAGGCTATCTGAATAGTCTATATACGTTTATACGCTTCCTCGCCCTCAATTTGTCTCCTTGTCTTACAAGTGAGCCTGGAATTCTCCAAAATCGCCCTCTCTCGACAGTTGGTCACGTATCATGTCTTTCCGTTCTTCGCTTTCCTGGACTTCCTCATTCCCCTGCAGTTAAGAAAACTCTTTGAAATAAAGGCTACACTAAACTTTGGTAGCATGTAGGAACTTAGTTGAATACACTTTCTCGCGAGATTGGAGGCCTCATGCTATGGTAGACTTCTTCACGGGGCAGGAAAAAAGTTCTGGAATAAAGGATTTCACACAGATAAGCAAAGAATAAAAATAAGTTCCCATGATGAAACAAAGAATGCGCCCAATTCTGGGAATGTACAGTATATTGCAATAATTCAGAACCAAAGTACATCATCAAGAGATGGTAGGCATTATAAGGACTACCTAAGGATGCGAGGGAAGAGACGAAGATAAATCATTATGTATCTCCGGAGGACGGGAACAATATATCATAAGGGGTATGGTACTTTCCTGTCCCATTTGTCGGACGATTCAGCGGAGCGGAAGACCCGAGGTAAATACCCTTTGTATATAGCCGTGTCATGATGAATGATACCAAGAGCTCAGATTGAAATGTACAGACCGGAAGCTCGTTCATCTCTTCCTCCTTTCTTTCATCGTCCTCTTTTTAGTTTTTAGCCGAAATTTCTCGGATTCTTGCCAAATCAAGAAAGAAAATACATACATTATTTATGCCTTCATTAGAATTTCTTCGTTGCTGAGGTTTTGGCACTCTGTAGGGCATCAAACAGGCATGTTTGTACGCATGTCAGTTAATGCAAGGCTTTGACTCACTTTCTTTTTTTCTTTCTTTCTCTTTCTTTTTCTCTTTGACTCTTTATTGACTTTGGCGAAATTTGACTTGAAAAGGTCTGAGTCCTTTAATTCTGTTTTTGGAAGGGCAAGAACGAGATTTTGTCGAACAAGCCTATACCAATCCCTCCTCAAAGAAGCTTTTTGTTTCACACGTAGGCTTTACAACAGAACGGAAAAAATAATCACACCTACGTCAAAGATACTAAGTCCCAAGATCTTCTTATAAGCTTACTAGTGGTAATGCGCATGCATGTTACGGGCCAAGAAACTTTAGTCCACCCTTACCCCCCACCCCCTCAGTAACAGAACTTTTTGATGGGGAAGCAAAACTGACTATTTCTGAGTCAAGTATTCAATTCTATCTTTACAGGGGTTCGGATGAAAGCCACCCGGAAAAAAGGTCCACTTTCTACTGACCCTTCTAACTTTCTCATAACCCTTCTTCTAACCCCTAAACTTTCTATAGACTCTTCGCTCAAATACTCAAATGAACACTCAACTGAGGAATGTAGTCCATTTTGCCTCGCTATCGCACAGTTCTGCAACTGAAGCGAAAAGGGTGGGGGAGGGTTACGATTTCATGGCGCCCTGTACAAACATGCCAAAACGTTTAATTCAACTTACAAATGAGGAACTCTTTAGCTACGAGAACAATCCATTAGAAATATGTTAAGATGTGTATCTGACATGAGCAATATTTCATTTAAAAAATTTGGGACCGTTAGAAGGATAGACATGCGCGTCATGCCATATGCCCGCCGCTGGCTTCCGTATCATGTCCATTAGTTCTGATTCTGACATTGAAGGACGAAGATAGAGGCAATTACACAAAGACGAAGTTGAGAATCGCAGGTCGTCTTCTTGATAAACCGAAGAAGCGGAGATAGTAGTCGGCGGGTATCCGCTTTAAAGTAAATTCCCTTCCCATCCAAGTTGCTTCTCTTTGATAATGAGAAAAAAGAGAATCCTTATTGCTCTGCAGGCAAACCCAATCTCACGAAGAGGAGGCTTGAAAATCTCTTATCCACCTCCTCAAAGGAGGAAAAAGGTGGGCTCTCTTCTTGTGAGGGAAACGGTTTCTGGAAAGGCTGTTTCTCCGCCTCCTTAAAGACTTCCATACATCAAGTTGGAAATGGCAATTTATCCTTGGCCTTGAATAAGGAGGGGTGTTTCGCAGTTGCTCGTTCATCTCTACCAATTGGATACTGCCGTCTGAACTGAACCAACAAGTGTGGCCCAATGCTCTAGTCACGCATTAAGCCTACATCGACTTTTGTTGCGACGCGCTGAAGGCCAAATAAAAATATGCTCTGAGGAAGAAGAGCGCAGAACACCACAGACCTTGTGTGGAGGAAGAATGTCCCTCTGGGGCAGTATGGATTATACCGACGACTTTCTTTCCATTTCGATACCAGATGACCTTGTGGGGCATTTCGAGGATGCCCCTCATTCGACACTTGAGGTCCACTCGACTTCCACTTTGAACTACAACTTCTGCGTCTCCCACGATCTCCACCCTTGGAACTTCACGGCAGAAAAGAGAAAGAAAGTGTCCATTACAAATAGGTCATGTGAACGAGAAGAACGAAAATCATGGAATGAAGCACGTAATGAAAGCACTACGTCACTGACAATATGCAATAGGCTCCTTTCATTGTGACCTGTGGTTATTGCTATCAGTAGGGAGAGGAGTTTTATGTGCTTAGTCCTAAAATATGTATATAAATATGCGCTTAAAAAACTAAAACATACATGAAATGTTCACAAAAGTGGGTAAATGTGAAAAAACATGCTTTTTATAATACGAAATGAATTCTTTGAAAGAAGGAACTATAGAGTACATTTCATATCGTCAAGTTTCCCCTTTCCCTTCTGCATGAGTAAAGGAAAGCTTGGAGATAAAATCAGGTGCCTGCTGGGCATAGTCGGTCTATTCTTTTCATAGCATATGCCTGCTGGAAAACCTCGATTGTTGCTCGTAAAAAAAAGAACTTGCCAGGAAAGCTTTTTTTTTCTCACTGCAAATCGGTGAAATATGCATAAATATTTAGATACATGGGTTTTCACATTGGAAGTTCGTAGCTTCTCCCACATTATGGAAGATCTAAGCTTGAAATTTTCATTGCTTCTTAATATAACCACCCCTGTCGTTTGTGCACATTTGCATTCGTCCAAACCAAGAATCAAGGAAATTGCGTCAATCCGTTTCTACAACAATAAGTCCCGAAGCCCCTGTTTGGGACGTTGATGATGGGCAACTTCAAAGATCTCAAACAGACAGTTGTGAGCTATTCAGCACTTTCGGTGGCATGCTTTTAAAAGTGGCATGCTTTTAATGGTTGCGACATGGGAGAAGAAAGTGGACACCATTTGCTTCCCGACACTGCGGGGCAAATGGACTTAGTTGAGCGGTTGCTCACCAGGAAAAATCAAAATTGTGCTTTGGCGTTCCATTCCTGAATCAAATTCAGAAAGGGGGAAGTGGTGGGTGGCGGATGTAATTAGACCAGAGTTTGAGGAGGCTAGAACCAAACTTGGGAAGACTTCAGTCTTCAGAAACCCCCCCCCCCCTCCCCCCCTCGCTACGCCATTGAACGAGAGTAGTGGAAACAGCCTTGATAATTATTAAAATCGGTTCGACATCCTGGAGACCAAAACTGATTCCGTGATCTCTGCCCGCTTACAGACGACTTTGACGACCACTATATACTGTACATGTAATAAATGAATATAACATAAAGGCGACTTGGTAATAAAAGTTCTGAATATCGAGGTTTTGCTGGTCGTATCCTATTTTGTCAGCCTCTTAAAACCCTAGCACCGATGTGACCACACTATGCGACGTCCACTGCAATTCAATATCGTGAAGTGACTAAAATAGGCAATGGACCTAAGAGTGGCTTAAAAGTAGCGGTCCACCCTCTTGCCATACATTGTAACTCCATTCATCCACTCTGAAAGGGGTCCGCAACATGGAGACATTAATCCATTCACTGCTGCTTAAAATCTAACACATTAAATGCTATGCAAAATCGGAAAAGCATCAAATTTATATTTAAATATAAATTACGCGTCAAGCATACAGCTAGCATACAGTAAGAGTTAGGGCATGGCGTGTTTACACGTCATGTAAGCATCAAATAGGTTCAACGAATAGTTGTCAGGTGTTTTCAGGCAAGGTTCGACTCCAGTCTCACTTGGTCGAAATTCAAACCAGGTATCTACAGCTCTCGTTTCTGTCGCAACGGGCAGGCTCCGTCATGGCTGCTCCCATACCCAGATGGGAAAATGTGTCGGATTCGGATTCCTTAGGCAGCCATTCGCCGCGTAAGCAATATGCATTTTTGTGCTCTAATCTATCCAAAAATCGCCAACTGTTAGGCTGAACTACGCAGAATCAGTCTTGAAGAGTTTTTCAAAGATGATCCACTATGGCAGCTTTGTTGATTCCTATGCTGATCGAACACATCTCCCGAGTTCCTAGAATGATTTCCGATTTTAGATGGTACCCAGTGGCGCATTTAACGAGGAGGTTGGCAGGGGGTCACCCCCTCCTGGCAGCCCTTAATAGCGCTTGGCGCCCCCTCTGAGATATTCCTTTCTTAGGTCCTATTAACCCTGGTACGATGTTGGCACGCGCTCCTCCAGGTCCTTTTTTTCTAAAGGCATATAAAACGTTACTTGATTCGCACAATAACAGTAGTTCAACGAAATCCTATACTTAAAGCTGTCTTAGTTACAGTATATAGTTACTGAGCTTTGACTCTTATCTTTCGACGACTCTTCTAGCGTTCTCTTAATGCACCCTTTTTCAAAACGTGGGGCGCCCCCTTAACCTGCTTCCGCCCACCGTCCTATACACATGACAATTGCATTTAGTAACAGCCGAGTCCGAGAAGAGCGTGTTGAATGATACAGCATGGTGAGAATTTGTCGCACATCTCCTAGCTGTTCGTCACTGATTCTAGTTATTACGGCTAGTGCCGATCTAGGCACTTCGCACCGCAACGTTGTTTCCGCGCCAGCACCAACCGTTTTTTACCAGCAACAACTGCCTCATCGCCGTCCTGTGTGACCTCCTTCAACATTTCTTCTTCGCGTTCAACCTCACCTCACAAAATTTGCCACCATTTTGATGGGAGGTGCACCTATTTTGCGCGACATATGAAGCAGAGACTTTTTAGACTATTACTTTGCCTTGATCAATCATGAGAATTCAAATAAATCGGCCATGACATGAAACGCAAACATAAAACTATTGCATGGAGGTGATGTCCCAAACTGCCATGCCTGACCTAACGGAAAAAATAAATACAGGAAAAAAAACTTCGACAAAGAATGTATTCAAATGGAGTCGATCAGTGAAAATTTGACACGCATTCAGTTATTACCACCCTTTGCTTGACACAGCTAAGTATGAAGCCTATGGCACAGACTGATATAGCTCGATGGACCTGGCGGTAAAAGCGTTGGATGGCCAATTCTATGGCCTAAAATGGCATAGCCTCAAGGACTTGGCGCTTTGAGGGGTGGATGGCCTAAGCTATGGCCTGAAGTGACAGTCTCGTAGGCCTTGCGTGCTGGGGTGACAACTACCACCACCACAACTCTTGGGCTCTTCGAATAAATGATTAGATGGCTTGGAAAGGCGTAGCCTTGTAGGCCTGGCGCTTTAGGCCGTGGATGGCCTGGCCTATGACCCAGAATGGCATTGCATCGTTAGGCCCGCGCGTTGGGGTGACAGCCACGACCACGAACACGACCACCACCACAACTTTTGACCTCTTCGAATTAAAGTATTAGGGTGGATTTTTGAACAGAGCATTATCCGATAATGCAGCTTTATTACAGAGAAAATGCATTATAAATCCGGTAAATAAAGCAGCATTATCGGATAGTTCTCTGTTCAAAAATCCACCCTCAGATTATTATTTTGTAATTGCATATTAAAGGAAAGTCCTCATTCCAAATCCCTTCATTCCCTTCCAGACACTGTATCTTCGTCACATTGTCCATCTAATTATATACTTTTAGAATTGTAAGGTAGGGAGCAGCTGCTTTGAAGACATTACCAACGGATACTTCAACGATGATGAACGTAAAATCTGCTGTGTACTCTGTTCTCGAAGTTTGATATTGAGGACATGATTGTTTTTCCATGGCTGACTCCTTAATGCTTAATCATTTAGTCTACTTTTTTTATTTGTAATCTCTTTTCCTCTGCATCCCATTCCCCTTCTCGGTGCTCCGCAATTGTGCAAACTTTCTTAATTTTCCTGTAAGGTGAAATATATATGTTGACGAGCCATCGCTCGTCAACTTCATCTCATTCTCATCAGTTTTATGATGGAATCCTCATCCCCGCAGACCCGTGTGTGCATAACTCGAACAATCTAAACAGTAAAAAGAAAAATGAGTAAAAAAAAAGACAAAACGGATCCTATCTCTCCTGCGCATCAGAGTCGTTCGAAAAAAGAGTCATGGTTTTTTTTTCACAAAAGAAACGGTACCATTGAGCTTCCTTTATCAGAAGAACTCGGGAAATCGCATCTTTCAGCTCGATTATGCGAAAGCGATCTTCCTCTGTACTGGCGATATCCAGATGCACGCATCAGTGATCTTATTCATTGCAGGTTCGTCGTCGGATTCACTCGTGAAAGCGCAAGCCAAGAAATATTTCCGTACCCAGGGGAACTATTGTTATCGGCAACTAATTCTCCCTTATCGTTCTTCAGGGGGGCGATGGAATGTTGACTCCTGCTGCAGGCATATTGACAAAAAGACTTTGGATTAACGTCTGCATTAATTGCTAGCCGTTTTTCTTCCAGCTTCGTTAACACAACCTCCCGTTGGAATGACATCGTTGTGACACGATACTCCTCGTATATTCCTCCTAATCGCTCGTGCACCCATACTAATCCTAATTTTGCTTCTTATACCTGATAAAGGACTTAACGTTAGAGGAAAATCAGATCGGTTAACTGTGGAACCCCTCCGATATCTAAGGGATACAAATTTCTATAAAACAGCAGATCGTGCCGAATATCTCTTCCTGCTCCTCTACCATGAGACCTCAACACCTTCCTTATCGATCGAGACCTGAAACGATTCCCTTAGAGAGTGGAAAGGAGAGATGCGGCGTAGCAGAATCTGGGCTTGGCACCGATACAGTCTGTTGGCGAAGGATCGATTAATTGCTTCAGTCACGGTCCAATTGATTTGGACGTTCCTCATCGATCTCGATGAAGGCATACGAAGACGAGTTTGTGCCGCTTGACTTAAATGAAATAATTCCGTGGGAAAGTAGTTTAGGGTAGTACTACTGTGAGCGATGCATGTGAGTATCCTCGTATGAAATTGTCTGGATATTTTGCAGCAATTACGAATACATCTGCAAAAAAGGAGAGAAACATGAAAAAAAAAGCCGCGTTCGACCCAATCGGGCTGAAAGGAGATGTGAATATTGAGCATCCACTCGGCAAGAAAACAGTCTCGGACAGGGTTTTCAAGTGACGCTTCTGACGATGCAATCCTTAGAGCCGACAGACCGTGTGTTCAGACCCCGAAAGAAAATATTCCGGGGCATTGGAGAGGAAGGGCAGCGTGGAAAATCCAATCTTTTCTCTTTCCCCTGGAAGTAAGGTTTGTCCTCGACGTCCTCCCTATTCAATATACAAGGGTACCGAACCCCAGCTTCTCCCTCACATCATTCCCTATTCCTTCTTTCTTCCATTCCTCCTCTTCTCTTTCCCTCTCCTTTTCCTAGAGCAAACGAGCTTCGTATTTGGGGCTCCCTGTATTCCCTCTCGTTCGCAGATGTTCTTCGAGTGCTCTATTGGATTACAACATTGAAGCTTCATGGGATAATTGAATTTTTCCGGAATCTCTCACCCTCCTCCCCAACACATTTCTCCTCTATTCCCCTTCTTCAACGAGCACCTTCTTTTCGGAACATTCAAGGGTCTACAATATACATATGAGTCCTCTAGTTAAAGATCACCCACTTATCAAGGATATCCCTTTCAAGCAAGAGTAACCTCTGTCGAAATTATTAGCTGCCAGAAGCAAGTGGTCTAGTAAAGGAGGGTCTTCTTGGACGTCACAGACAATACGAACAATCTCGTCGGGTATTGAAAGTTCGAAATAAATGCCGTTCCTGGTCACTCGCAACTATGATGAGGCCTGCATGACTCAGACAGATTTTGGGCACGTAGGCATTTCGTATCCATTGGATTCAAACGACAGCGACGTGACAAGACAGGTCAGGCGAAAACTTACCGGCGACATAAAGATCCAGAGAGAGGCTTTGTTTAGGCGAAGTCGAAATTTGACACTCGTAAGTCTGGGCATCCCGTTCTGACACAGAGGAGATGGTCAATGTCCACTTGACGGAAAATTCCCCTTCTTCCACTTTGGCACTGAAACGTTCATCACCGATGAAGGTGAAGTTATCCACTGTCAGGATGTGCTGGTCAAGCTTCCTCATCCAGGACACCTACAGTGATCCGACCGGAGAGATGCATGCACTTATTGGCAGCAAAAAAAAAAAAAAAAGTAGCACTAAGGAGTTAACGTATATTAAGTGAAATTTGGTCCAGTTTGGTAAATTTTCAACAGCGTTTCATGAGATGAAGAAACGTTTCAAGGTCGTAGAATAACTCCACAAAAATGACTCGCCTCAGGGGCTGTTAACTATTCCAGTTAACTATTCATTTCATTAATGACACACGAAATTTGTCATTGTTGAATGCTCAGCTGACTTAATGCTGAGATGACGTAGTCTGAGGCACTATCGCTATCTTGACCAGTTTAAATGACAGCAAAAATGTCTTCGAAGACGACACCTGATGAGGAAGTGATGCTACTGCGGCCACTACAATTGAGCTCAGTGGTAGCGATTCAGAATGAGTGAGACTTACACTCGTTAGTCTCCATGTCCTCTTCGTGTTGTAATGTGTCTCTTTTTAACTGACCAATTACCAGCCATTCAAACTAGTCAAAAGGACGAAACAGCCTAAAATGATATCTTGATATTGTTCTGCAGCTTAATACGCAGCAACAGAAAAGTAAACTGACACGAGTTATAAAAGTGAACTGAGTTAATTGGACCACTCTTTATATTTGAGCCGATAAGGAATTTTCCACGTAGAGCCATTCCACGACCTTGGAAATTGCTAGTAAATCGATTTCGTTACACTCTACTATGAGTTCTTATGTCACATTTTTGTGAATGCTGCTCAACCCTTTCCTCGATATCCCTTTTTTAGGCGATGAGTATATATATAGGAATATGCCAGTCTTGACATTGATGTCGAGCCACTACGAGACAGATGGCCTCCCACAAGGCCTACCTTTTCATTATGGATGTGATGGATGAGACATGGGAGATGGGTCTCGGATCCCAGCTGGGCTAAAGCCATCCTCGGGTTATCAGACGCGAATTCTGGCTTGCTTCCGCCTCCTCTTCCTGCTCTGGTCAGCGTCACTGTCATAAAAAAAAAAAAGTCGGGAAGATTTAGACATCACCATGGAATACCAGGGCTGCTCAATCTCAGCCGAGCTCGATTTTTTTCCTCCCATCATCAATAAAACGGGGCTCACTTCGCGCAGCTTAGGAATCCGCCTAAGCTCAACAATCTATCATCGAGATTGGCATTGGAGGAACTCGGAGAGTGACCTTGCCAGAATTTTAAAGAATATTCTTTCAGATCACTGCCTTGAAAGTTAGATGGTCGAATGCGGTTGCTCAAACTGCACCTTTTCCTTCTGTAACTTGAATTTGATTGCTATTTTAATTGTCGATAAATTTTATCCACTCATTATTTTCTTTATGAGTAGGTACTTAGGCTTGCCGATGATTCCTTCCTTAAAACCACACGTAAAGGGCAAAAACCTCAATATTTTCAATATTATTGACTAAAAATGGCGCGCTATTCCTAATGCGCTCCTGACTTTCTACAATATTTGCAGTCTGGAGGAAAAGCGATTGGATAGAGGAAATATCGGTTATATGCAGGCTTCTGTACATTCCTCTTTTAAACCTCTGACTTTTTTGTATATGCTTCTAGGTTGCATATCTATTGTATATAGTCTATTTTGTATATATATTTTGTATAATAGTATATTTTGTAGAAAACGGACTCTGCATTGCATATGACAGTGGGCACCCTACCCTTGGATAGATTCAAAGAAGGGAACTCCCGACACGTCTGTTATAGGAACGACTAGAAGCGGATTTCGAAGATTGCTCTGGTCGGGTGGAATTGTGTGCTCTGTCAACAGAATCCTTCCCACGGGGACAGGGTCATGGCACTCTGATCCCCGCATGTCAGTCATCTCTCATGCTTAGCGCACCTTCCGAGAACAGAAAAGTACTTAACGTACACGAGTTTCGACTGGTGGATGTCATACCAGATTACCAAAAAGTTTCCCGACACATTGTTATTTTATGGATAAGAATCACTTAATAAATAAAAAGCTGAACCACACGATTATTTCTAACTGAAAAACAAATAAAGAAAAAGTTCGGCAAAAGCACTAATGAAAGGAGGCGCATATTTACAGCCATCTGTGAAATGTATTCTTGAATCAATCGAAAACACGGCAATTTTTGTTATTTCAATATGACAGACCTGGTTTGCTGGCTGTTGTGGAAATTCATTTTAAGGCAACTGTCAAGGTTCTGTTTATGTAACGGATGTCATGAACGAAAGACTGGTATTGTCAGTCCTATTTGCTTTTTCTCATATGGAGAAGTCAGTCTTCATCGCTGTCCATATATAATAAAACCTTGTCAATGCATTGATTATTGTGAAAAATGGATATCACTTTCAAGTTCCCTATATTCTTGGAGAGAAAAATAAATTCGACATCAAGGAAAATGAAAAGATTGTAAAAAATAAAATATTGAAATAATCCTTCCTACATTACGATCTGCATGGGAACAACCATAGGATTCAATGGCACCGACTTCGGTTATCGCCAAAAATAGTAGATCCTCTTTTCCTCTATTGCTTCTCTGATTTTCTCCTGTATGGCCGTTATGGGATTAGGGGAATGAAAGGCTCTCGTTCTTAGACAGCCTTTTGAGGATAGATTCCAGTCAATTTGCGTCCCTTTCTTCCCAGTGAAGGACGTAAGAACCTTTCGGAATCGAGAATAAAAGCCTCTCTTCACGCCAAGGACACGTCACCATCTCTTTGCCCAAGAAGCAATCTAATCTTAGGTAGTCTCATTTTGTTTGCATTTCGTTTTTGCTCATCCGAGGATGCATTTTATGAAGAGTTGCCTTCGAGGACCATGAGGTGTAGACGTTTCCTGTTGCTGGTGAGTGACAAAAGCACTTCCATGCATTTCTTCCCTCTGCATTGTCCAGATACGTTTCTCTTGCTTGATGAAATTGCGTGTATGTTAACCATATTGATGGGGGATAAGAAAAATATACGCAGTTGATTTTGAATCTATAAATATGAACCTGTGACAGACTCTTTCCCTATAATTGAAATATTGCAGTGAAACCTTGAGAAATAATGGCTGATTTACCAATTTAAATCGGAGAAAAATATAAAATATGTTTTCAGAAGATATTTCCCTCTAATTTTAGATGGGAAATCAAAAGCTCGCTCTTTCCCTATACTTCTATTGCAAAAAGGCCTGGTTGACTTCAAAGATTTTTTTCTTATTTTAAGTTGTACATTGACAGAGAGAGAGAGACAAGAGTCTCATAATATGTGAATGAAATATTGATGATTCAAGAGGGGAGAAGGCGACCCCTCCCCCATCCTCAACTTCTCCCCTCCAGAGTTGTCTGGAGGGAATAGGAGAGAAATTTTCATCAGACCCTTGCAGTGGAACTGAGAGGATTTTCCCCTTCGCGTTGGAACGCCCTTCTTTGTCTAGATGTGTCTTCTCTTATCTCCCCCTGATTTTTATTCCTTTCCTGTGCAGCCTAGCAGCATCTTATTAAGATTTAAGCTGGAAGCACTCTCGTGCATGGAGCACTTGTGCGCGTTCTCACAGGAATTGCTCTTCTTTGTCCCATTCTATCCATTTCACTCATTACTTCGTAGCTAGAAAACATCTTTCTGGTCTATAATGCCGCACAACGGACGGTAAAGTAGATCCAAAATTTTCCAAAAATGTATTAACGTACTTGCATCGTGCGGCACAGGAAATTTTTTTCCTAGTGGATTCCATTACGTTCCGGGTCTCTGCTTCGACAAGATCGCAGTCTAAACCAATCCTTTCCTAGGGAAAATGCCCAGTGCGATGCATTCTTAAAATATAGTTTTCCGCAGTGAAAGGGTTAACTATTAATGAATCTGGACAAGAATGAGCAATAGCCAGAGCTGAACACAAAATGAATTTGCTTTAATTGGATTGCAATAATTTGTCCTTTTAATCCCTAGTCAACGTTTAATTATTAAAATCTCGCAAATAATTGCAATGGACAATTAAATATCCATTTTGAGGAGAAGTTACAGATGGATGATAATTATTCAAAGTATAATAATTTGCTTAACTCTGGCTGTAGCTATCCAATGACATGTGCTTTTGAATAAGAAAAAGCCGATAAGAGAATCCAATGACAGCAGTTGCATTGCCATTAATCATGAATAGGTAATGCTCCTTTCAAACTTGTAGATGTGCGGAGCAAATGTCTTCATAATGAACGCAGAGGAGAGAATGGGAACCAATGAATAAACAATTCTGAAAGATGGATGACCTTCACGTGGAGTCTCATTTATTACAGGCAGCATGAAATGCTTCCACAACTGTCGTTAGGAAAAAAGGATATCTATGTATCTCACATGTATGTATCTATTCCAGGAAGTCAATAATGCCTCTGATATCAACGATGACTTCGAACTCAATAAGCGCTAAGCAGGAAAAAATAATGCTTTTCCTTTAACCGCCCCTCCTCTTTCAATGCCAAATAAAAATAAGTTATTCGGTCATTTCAAGAATAGCATAATTTTATGTTCAATACTCAATATTAATAATAGAATATATCGTGAGTGATTGCAAAAAGAAAAGAGATAGCATGAACGTCACTGGGGGAGAGGGATTTAGAAATGCGGGTGAAAAGGCCTTAAATGTGGCATGCACTGAAAGGAATAAAGAGATCTTAAGAGTCGTGAATAGAGAAAATAAGAGCGCAATGTTGTAGCCTCACGGCCGGACGACACCTGCTTTTCTGAGCTCCATTGGAAGTTCAGCAAAAGAAGGAAAATCGTTTTCAATTGTGTGAATTGTGAGGATAGGTGGGTTGAATGAGAAGGTCCTATTCAACTGATTTCATGGTTATCAAATTGGAGTCTATTTTTTTCCTAGATATTTCTCCTGTTCTTCGTATTCTTATCTAAATCTGTACTCTATGGGGGGATAACGTTTTCCTTTTAAAACCCTGCTGTTCATCTCAAGTTTTGTTGTAATAGTTGATATAACGAGAATGACATAACATAACGTGAAGTTTCGCATGTCTAAAAAAAGAAAGAGGAGGAAAAATCGTGTTTTACTTTCTGCACTTCCATGGCAAATCTCCTCGACTTTGATTATTAATGCAAGACGACATCCGCCTTCAGACTTTTCTGTGGATTTCTGATACAAATCCATGAAAATTTTTGGTAGGCATATCTCTCGTTGCCATATACGATCATGTACGCATTACGTAGAGCATGTCTCGTTGGATATACCAGAACTTTTAGACCTTATACTTCTTGTATAGGAATTCACTTCCGGATACTCGTGAAATGGACCACTTAATCTCTTTCATTTTTAGAAGCTATATGACCTGAAAAATGTTCTATAGCATTTCGGCTTTCACCTGTTTTAGCGGGATCACTACGCTAATGAACTTTCGAAGGTACACAAGGGATTGCAAACGAAACCCTATAACACATACATGGTAATATTAGAGAAAATGAATTAAGTTTTTCGGCATCCTCAAACAAAAAAACGGAACTGACTCTTTCCAAGATAAATATACTGAAAATGAAGTACTGCATGTAGCTAGAGAATTTTCTCATAGATGTGCGAATTCGAACCAGAAAAATTGCTGGGGAATTTTTTCACGCATAATTCTGTAGACACCATGATGAACTAGGTGCACATATAGGCACGCATATAGTGCGTTGCCTGCACTCACCCAAAGCGAGGAGACACGTGAGGATCATGATCAATCAGAGCCGAGTCCATAGAAGGGTGCGCATTTTCTTCCTTCGATTCATGAGTTGAAACGGAGCGGAAAGAAGACCGAGTAAGACGTACTCCCAGGAAGGGAACGGAGGGACTGAGGTTTGCATTCCGGGGATGGACCACACCCGTTCCCGAGCGGTATCCCCCCTTTCGAGCATGCGCGTTACCATGCACACTCAGCGGTGATTATATATGACAAACTGTACGCGCCTCGATGCCCTCTTAATCAAAACGCAGATCAAATTACCAGACACGTAGAACCTTATTGGCCCCATATCTGCCATAAAGAAGTGGG